GAGTGTGTTTTTCGACATGGAATGGCAGGGAATCTTTCCTGATTTTAATGTTTATTCTTTGTTGATCCGTGGATACTGTAAGATCGGTGATTTGCATAAAGCGGAAGTGTTCTACGACGACATGATTTCGAAGGGTATAAAGACAAATGGTGTGATTGCTAGTTGTATTCTTCATTGCATGAGTGGGATGGGTATGGATTCGAGAGTCGTAGATAGGTTTAGGGAATTAAAGCATTCGGGTGTGTTTCTTGACGGGGTCGCTTACAATATCGTATTTGATTCTTTGTGTAAATTAGGTAAGGTAGATGCTGCGGTAGCTATGCTGAAGGAGTTGAAATCTATGCGTATCGATTTAGATATCAAACACTACACGACCTTTATTAACGGTTATTGTCTTCAAGGTAAACCCGACGTAGCGTGTAGTATTTTCAAAGAAATGGAAGAAAACGGATTTAAACCTGATGTTGTTGCTTATAATGTTCTAGCCGCCGGTTTGTTTAGAAATCATCATGCTTGCGAGGCGATTGAGCTTTTGAATTGTATGGATAATCAAGGTGTGGAGCCGAACGCAACTACACATAAGATTATCATTGAAGGTTTGTGTTCAGCAGGCAAGGTTGAAGAAGCCGAGGCATATTTTAATGCTCTGAAAGTTAAGAGCGTCGAAATCTATACTTCCATGGTTAATGGTTATTGTGAAGCCGGTCTTGTTGAAAAATCATGCGAACTTTTCTGCGAGATTTCAAACGAAGGAGATATTTCAGAAGAAACTCCCGGTTTTAAGAAACTTAGCAGAGTAATGTATTCTAAAGTATTAGCTGCATTGTGCAAGGAAGGGAATATAGAACATGCTCGCTCGTTGTTCGATTTTTTCCTCGAGAGGGGATTTACACCCGATGTTGTAACTTACACGATTATGATAAAAAGTTATTGTAGATTGAATTGCTTGCAAGAGGCTCATGATCTCTTCCGGGATATGAAGATCAGAGGGATAAAGCCTGATGTAATTACGTACACGGTTCTACTCGACGGGAAGTTCAAACAAGTGAATTTAAAAAGGTGTTTCTCTTTGCAACACAAAAAAGGAAGTGATGCAACGTACGGTGTTTCGACTATCTTGACAGAAATGCAGCAAACAAAAGTAAGTCCGGATGTGGTTATTTACACTGTTCTGATTGACGGATTCGTAAAGGTTGATAACTTTCAAGAAGCGGTCAGATTCTTCAATGAAATTATTGAGCTGAGACTCGAACCGGATAATGTAACTTACACTGCTCTACTTTCTGGTCTGTTAAACCGCGGGCACACCGAGAAAGCTGTTATATTGTATAATGAAATGTCTTCCAAGGGAATGATGCCGCCCTTGCCCATCATCTCGAAGTTAAAACGCCAAGTTATAAAAGCTAGAAAGGTGCAGTTTCGAAAGTAGTGAATCGGTTTTGACTGTTCATGAAAAAGAGACGAGTTTATGAACAAACGAGTTCTTCTTTGGTGAATGAGAAAAATCAATCATCCGGCTATGCAATTCAAAGAATCTACAGAGATAGAAACAATCGACGAGTCTGTAATGTTTGATCATCATGTTGTTCAGTATGTAATATCTTGATTTTTGTTTCCGTTGAGAAAATAATCCAAATTGAATCGAATTGAATGAGATTTTGATACTTAGATATGACTTTTTGTTTCAAAGTCAATCTAAATTCAAACCGTAAACACTCCTAATTGTTACTATGTTCCATATAATGGTTACTTTTTATTCAATAATAACTTAACCTGAGATCAAAACATTAAGAAGCATGTATCTGGTAACATGAACCCCTCTGCACGGGATATTTTGTTGGAATCAGGCATGGCAGATGCTTTGACGGTATGATTAATTTTTAGTTTGACATTCTTTGATGTTATTCAAGGACATCATTCATTGTCCTGTGAAACCATGACGAGCCAAAAATCTGATTCTTCATTTCCCTTATTTTTATATATAATCCTTTTCTGGTATATTTATATGTGAGCCCTGCTGTAGCAAATGGGATTTCTACCATCTGATTCGTGATATTTTAAACTGATTGAGGGGCTTTAATCTACATTTCTGAACCCTCATTTTTCTTGGATTTTTCCCACTAAATTGGGCGCGATGTGCTAATTGCTAAGATGATAAAAACTACGAAGTTTGAATCTTTCTACAGAAATATATAGTGGGGTTAGTCACATATTTCTTCTTTTCTGTGAGATTTCTGCTATTAGTTTGTTAGTTTCTTTCTTTTTATTGTTTGAAATTTATCTAATAGCACTTGTCAACAGAATCTTTGTTACATGGAGAGTGAAACCAGCTTTGTTCCGGAAGTGACAGAAAACATAGCTATAGATTCAGCAGAGAAGAGACTCAATGAGCTTGGTTACAAGCAAGAACTAAGAAGAGAAATGGTTTTTGTTCTTTCACCATCTTGATCTAAATTTTCTTAATATAAAAATAATATTTTTTTTCTTGTATTTTGCAGACTATGTTCAAAACTCTTGCAATATCATTTTCAACAATGACACTTTTCACTGGAATCACACCTTTGTATGGTTCTAGCCTTCAATATGCAGGCCCTGCAAGTCTTGTATGGGGTTGGGTAGTTGTTTGTTTTTTCACTTGGTTTGTTGGAATTGCTATGGCTGAGATATGTTCATCTTTCCCGGTTTGTCTCTTCTCATAAAGTTTATGCATGTAATTTACGAATCTGTGAATAATTTACTGAACAAATTTTCAGTTTTGATTCAATCTATAACAGACAACTGGTTCTATGTACTTTTGGGCTGCACATTTAGCCGGTCCAAAATGGGGACCATTTTCTTCATGGTCCTGTGCTTGGCTTGAAACTATAGGCCTTGTTGCCGGGATTGGGACTCAGGTAAATGGACTAATTCGGTTAAACTTCTACTCAGGGTTTCTGTATAATGCGTGCGAAAGTAACTCATATTTTTCATGGTTGGAATTTGAAAAGGCTTATGCAGGATCACAAACATTGCAGAGTATAATCCTACTCTCAACAGGCACGAATAAAGGTGGAGGGTACTTTGCCCCTAAATGGCTATTCTTATGTATGTACATTGGCCTCACTATTATTTGGGCAGCATTGAACACATTCGCATTAGAAGTTATAGCCTTCATTGACATAATTTCAATATGGTGGCAGGTACATTTTGCGTCTTTATCTAACTGTACCAACTTACCGATTACAGTGAATGCACGGTATCATGACTGCAGGCAAAAAATTTCTGTGTCAGGTTATTGGTGGCGCAGTTATTGTGATAATGTTACCTCTTGTGGCACTAACTACACAATCAGCTTCATATGTATTCACAAACTTCGAATTAGCACCTAATACAACAGGAATATCAAGCAAGCCGTATGTGGTGATTCTATCGTTTCTCGTGAGCCAATATTCCCTCTATGGATACGAAGCTGCAGCGCATCTAACCGAAGAAACTAAAGGTGCAGACAAGAATGGTCCCAAAGCAATACTAGTCTTGCCATCATTTCAGTATTCGGTTGGGCTTATATCTTGGCACTCACATTCAGCATTCGGGTATAAATATAATCAACCAATTAACACTCCAATTTTTAGCAGAAGAATGATAATTAACACTGGTTTTCAACTCCAACTCTTTATGATTCAAACAACAAGACTGCTGGAGCATTTGTGCCAGCGCAGATATTATATGATGCATTCCATGGAAGATATCACAATTCTGCAGGAGCAATAGTTCTACTATTTGTCATTTGGGGTTCATTCTTCTTTGGCGGACTTTCAATCACCACAAGCACTGCCAGAGTCGTAAGTACTACTACGACTCTATGAGCCTTTTGATTGATTTATTTGAGTTTATCTCAAACCATGGAATTTTCAGGTTTATGCACTGTCGAGAGATAATGGAGTGCCATTTTCGTTCTTATGGCGAAAACTGCATCCAAAGCACAAGGTTCCTACAAATGCTGTATGGCTATGTGCAGCAATATGCATTCTTCTTGGTCTACCAATATTGAAGGTGAATGTAGTGTTTACTGCAATAACTTCAATATGCACAATTGGTTGGGTTGGTGGCTATGCAGTTCCAATATTTGCAAGAATGGTGATGCCTGAGAAGTATTTCAAGGCTGGACCATTTTATTTGGGAAAGGCAGGAAGGCCAATATGTTTGGTAGCATTTTTATGGATTTGTTATACATGTAGTGTGTTCCTTTTGCCAACTTTTTATCCAATCACTTGGGATACTTTCAATTATGCACCTGTTGCTCTAGGGGTAGGTTTGGTGGGTATTGGAGGCTAGAAAATGGTTTAAAGGGCCAGTTAGGAATATTGATGCTCAAAATGGTAAACACAAATATTTAATCCTTCAGTTCAAAGATTTGATTAGTTTATTTCTTCATCTTCTCTCCAAGTTGTTTTTCTTGATTTCTTGATGGACGTAATGGAAGAGCAATTTTAGAATTGGTTTTACGTTTATCTTCTGTTTCTACAGATCGGAAAGAGGCAGAATACGTTGTTGCGGGTAGCTGTTGCGCGCAAATTATTTGGATGAAACGCCAACTAAGTGATTACGAAGTTAATCTTAGTGATATCCCGATAAAACGCGCAAATTAGGACGACTCATCAACGGCTCTGATGACTTCTCCGACGACTGTCGGCGGTGGTTGTAGTTTTCCAGCTGACTCGTGTTCAAACGACAATCAAACAAGCCTTAATGCTGAACCCAATGAAAAACTTTGCTCTCAATAGCATGAGAAGCCATGAAAGAGTTGAATGGTGCAGAAATATACTATAAGATATTTCATATATTACAACACTACTAAGTTCAAAGTAACTTTTTTTATAAGCAAAATATATCTTATTCATCACAAGCAATTCAGACATACAAATGCTTACTTTCCATCTTCAGACAGAAACATTTTTAAGCCGAATGGATGGAACCTTCTCAAGTTAACTGTGGAATATTCTTAGGCGTTCGTGTATTTTCTAAGCAGAATACGGAATCCTCAAGCCCATTTTTTGACAAAGCCAAGATCTCTCTGGTTCTGGATCGATGAAAGGATGCGTGATGAACTGTTCCGCTTCCTCATCAATCAATTCTCTACACCATCCTACTCGATCGGTTGGACAACAACCAGGTCCAAAACACCTATAGTTACAACAAAATTACCTCAAACTTCAAAAACTCAATAAAAAAAACTTTCATACAAGTGTTTACGTATAAGCTATTCAGAATCAGACATGAAAATCGAATACCTGTACTCGTAAAAGCAAGCACTCCTCTCATTCTCGACTTTCCCCCAGTTGTCCCAACCAACTTGTCTTACACACGGATCCATGTAAGTGTATGCAAAGACCACTCTTCCAAAAGGTCCCCACGGCCGTCCAAGATACGCATATGAAGTTCCTCCGTTACCTGTGATAACACATCTGAAATGGCATTGGAGACCACTCAGTCGTACAATACATTAAAAGAATTGTAAGATGAGATTGCTAACAATGGACCATGGTCACTAACACACCTCAAGAATACATAACCGGTTGTTTCCTGCGACGATTTTCTAGCTTGCGCGGTTATGAACCCTGCGGATTTGCAGTGAATATGACAGTGCTCTAAAAGAGAAGTGCTATTGCCGAAGATGAAGTCCACGCTTCCTTCAATATAGCAATCTTTCAAATATTGTTTACCGTGATGTAAGTACAGTGTGTCCTGCACCATATTCATTAAATTAGACATTCAAGATGCATAGACCCAGCATGAAAAACATCACAAAGCCTTACCTGCACCATAATCATTAAATTAGACATCATGAAAAACATCACAAAGCCTTAAACCTACATAAACTGATAGATCGAGATAGATGGAAAATGATCATTGGAGTTACCTGCCATCCAAGGAACCTGCAATTGTAGAAGGCGCAACGATCTGCTGTTACTCTAATTGCCACTGCCTGTCCTGAACCCTGCCAAAAAGATAAGGAAAAGCAAGAGCTAATGTAAGATATTTCATCATTGTTTGTGCATGTATAAAAATTTGTCCCATCAAACTCATGAAGAACTAATTGGGACGTAGATGAATAAAACTATAATATCTAAGTCATCTAATGAATATAGAAATAGATTACTCGCTAGCTACATAATGTATGTCAACCGATTTATATCTCAAGCAATTGGGGAATCCAAATCCCTAATTAAGGGAAAGTTCTAAATCACCATTAATTCTCAACTAAACACAACACATATGATTGGTCATACGCCTGAATCTTCAGTCTCACATCCCAAACCGTTTCCACTGCAATTTTATCAAAGCTCCAAAACTAAACTTCTACATCAACGTGATTTTGGTAAACACTGCAAACCCAAACATACGCTACATCGGTAAGAAAGGAAACAACATCCCAATTACCAACTGCGGAAAGGAACTATACAACTTGCATACGTACTAGTAAACATACAATCTAACACCCGACCCGTTCTCTCTATCAACACGCACTTATGCGTATTAACCAAACCGATACCATTCAACAAAGTGAATAAGTGATAATAAAGGAATTAACATTATCAAACACCGAGCAAAATTTGAAATTTCACCGGCATTACCTGAGGGGAAGAATTCTCAAAAGTAATATTCTCAGCAATAAAGTCTTCCCCTTCCACAATGGTAGTTCCACAACCAAATGTCCCAGTCCCAATCACCCTAGCAGGCTGCAACAAACCCAAAATAAAAGTAGCCCGAATCAGTGAAAACATTGAAAACAAAATGAACAATTTTGACACGCACCCATTAACCCTATATGAAGAAACCATAGAATGGAAACAGAAAAATAAACAATTTTGACACATACCCATTAACCCTTAAATGAAGAAAACATTGGATGAAAAATAGAAACAGAAAAAATGAACACTTTTCGCATACCCATTAATCCTCAAATGAAGGAAAAATTGGAGGGAAAACAGAAACTGAAAAAATGAACAATTTTTCACATACCCATTACCCCATATGAGGAAAAAAATTAAGAAAAAGGTGCGTACTTGATGGTGATCAATTTTGGTGGCAGTGTTGTTCCAAGTAATCACAGTATCCTCGCGACACAACCCAGCAAGAGTGATGAAATTCTTGGTTTTGGGAACGTATACGGGCTGCCGGTAGATTCCCGGAGATACCCGGATCACAGTCCGGCGAGAGTTGACGAACGGCACGGCATCTATTGCTTCTTGCACCGTTTGAAAATCTCCGGTTCCGTCCTGTGAGACGGTGAATACAGATGCTGCCATTGTGATTTTGGTGTTAGAAGAAAGAAAACGTATCAAAGGGATTCAGTTCAGTTTCCACAAGTGTTTTCTATGTTACGTCTTTGCTTTCTGTCGACAACAAATTGATTTGTCTCTTTTTTAATAAATAACCTAACATTCATATTTTAATCGGTTAATAATTGTAAAAGAGAGACAATGTATCCGTTTATGTGATGTTTGTTTAATGATAATTTCAATAATATCTTTCTTAACAATATTATAGTGGGAAATTTTATTTATATCAATGTGTTTGCGTTAGTTGGAAAATATTATTGAGGCAAATATTAGTTTAGAAGAGTCTCGGGAGTATATTCATAAGATTAAGATTACTCTCTCTTCAGAACATGTTCAAAATGTCGAAAGGATTGTACAAATAAATTCTTCAATAGGATCGAGATCAACATGTCCATCAAGTGTTAGAAACTTAGGATATTTTTATGTCCAAAAAGTTTGTAATATAGGAGATGTCTCAACACAATGAAATTATTTGGATGAAACGTCAACTAAGTGATTACAGAGTTAATCTTAGTAATATCCCGATAAAACGCGACAACACTATCGCCATAAACCTACCTACGAAGGGCTAACTCGAAGGGCAAAATAAAGTGTCTTAGAGTGCAACTGCTGGGACGTCGGCTCTCGGTGTCACTTCTATGATAGAGACTTGGGTATATAAGTTGTTCAAGTCCTACATTGAGTAGTATGGAATGCTCGGTTATTCGCATGAACGCAATATGATAATAATATCTCGTTTCTTTCTCTTTGCAGCATATCTACGACATTGTTATATGTCTGACACTTCTTACTTCATAATATCAATGATTTAAGTCATACACCAAGAGAGGAGTGCTAATAGCTACATCACCAATTGCAGAAAATAGCAGTTTGTTCAAATTCCACTTTGTTATAGTTCTATATCATCGCTATTCGACAACACTTACCACTTGTGTTAATATTTAAAGGTTTATTGAAGTGTGAATGTTGAAACAAAGACGAGTTTATGAACAATGAAAATCATTCAAGATGACATGAAGATGCTTCAATGTATTGTACTGGTGTAAAAGCAGAAGAATCTATCAACAAAACAATCCAAACGAAACCGCGTGCGATTTTAAGACTTAAATATGACTTTTTATTTCGAAGTCGATCCAAACTCAAACCGCAAACATTTCTACTAGATATTTAAGTCAATCTGCATATTTCTTGGTTATCACTTATTACCCGCCATTTTCATTGTTACAAACTTCAGTTTTTCTTGTTATATAGATGTTTCAAAATTACATAAAAATTATAGAATATCTTATGGTATAATCATTTCTCATTTCTAATTATTACTAATGAGCCTAAATATCTATATTTTATATTTTGACATTAATTCTAAAATTCATTTGAAAAATTTTCAAGTTAATTCAATCTAAATGCTATAGTTACATAAGCATCTTTCAAAACATATGAGAAGCATTCTTCTAATGCATTTTAGCGTATGTAAAACGCATTGGATGAATGCTTTCAACCGAAAAACATTTGAAACTTTTCTTCCAAAAAAAATTCAAAATGAACAATTTTAAAAGGGTGCTGAAAAATAAATAACAAGAGTTCCTTGAAAAAATTAACGTCAACAAAATTAATTTTTATTAAAATTTAATTAATCTAAATTTCGTGTTTTAGATGAAAAGAAGCTAAGCAAAAGAAGAAGAAAAAATTTAACTAATGCAAATTAACTGATTTTATGGTTAAATCCATATTGATATTCATATCCAAAATCATATTTAGAAAATCAGATTTATATCAAAATTAAAATGGTTTAAGCCGATCCATTTAGATGAATTTGGATTATATAGTTTTCACAACCAGGTATAATATTTTACTTTCACCATTTTCTAGAAATCATACGCCGCTGTACCGCCGCCGCCACTTACACGATTAAACTCTTTCAATTAACAAACCTCTGCCTCAATCCACACCAATAAATTCAACTGGTTCAAATTCTTTGAATAACTCCGTCCGATTAAATCGTCCGGCTATATTTCGATTACTATGACATTCCAATTCCGAATTTGACAATTGTTCGACTTGCCCGATTTAAATTTGACGTAACTGTTGGGCTCAACAACCTCTTGCAAGTCGATTTGTATCTGATATTAATAGTAAATATGGCCTTGGTAACCTGAGTCGGCTCCCTATAGCTTATCACTCAAACAACATCCTTGAAATCCAACTGACGACTAAGTCCCGACCCTTGAATAAACTATGTTGTGTTACGATACTCGGACGTCCACACTGCCGTAACATTCAACTCATCATCAAATAAATTATAGGACTCGGAGATGGAAACCCTAATCAATTGAGGAACCCCTGATGATAACCTAAGTTCATAAATCGTCAACAGGCTGCAAATTAATGACCATTTCACCCTTCGTAAGTTAAAGAGCGTACAGTGTGACTTTTCCTGCAAAACCGAACAGACTCCACAAACCCGTTAGCGGTCAGATGGAATGTAATACAAAATGAGATGGAATGCGAAATGACTCGACCAATCTAAATAAAAAATTGGGGGTATTACACATGTTAATAACCATCTCCTAGAGGTTCATAACTTTATGCTATTTTTAAAAAAAATATGTTTATATAATTTGTTAATAAGAATATAAGAGACTTTTGAATGGACCGTCGTGTTTAAAAGAAAATGAAATGCTAGTTAGAAATAATGTATTTTTAAAAATAATTATTTTGATATTTTTATTGTTTTTGAAAATACATACAATTGATTACTTTAAACTCTTATTTTCTTGTTATCAAGTAAAAGAGAATTTAATTATGTCTCTCGGCTGTTGTGTACCTTTAGATCTATTAGACATCTTAGAAAATATATTACTTCTTTAAAACTAGGTCAACTCTTCACAATTGTCACTTCTTTATAACTAGTTAAATGGAGTTTTCACATATCACGGTTTTAGTTCTCTTTTATGTAAGTTATCTATTTTCTACTCTATTATATGATGTATATTTGGTTTTTGGTTGAAATTGTCATCAAAATGTGAATTTTTTTTCTGCAGTTGGCTTTTGTGAGAACTGGTGCCATACCATCCGGAGAAGAATATTGGAAATATGTCTGGCCAAACACTCCTCTTCCTAAGGCTTTTTCAGATCTTTTGCTTCCTTAATAGTAACATGAATTATATATATAATGAAATGTTGCCTTATAATAAGACTTTATAATGGTTTTTGAACTAACCAATATGTTGTTTCATATGGCAGATGGAAAAACCAACAACATGCCTATTAGGTTGGAAGAATTAAACCAATACTCAGACACTATTTTTTCAGCATGATCTTTATCCTGGAAAGAAAATAGTATTGGGTAACACTCAGTCTGTTGCAAAGACGGCGCGACCACTCACAGAACCAATACAAGGTGTGACTGATTCCATATGGCTGGAAAATAAAGAAAGACAAAGTCTAGATGACTTTTGTAATAGTCCAACTGCTAAAGGAGAACGCAAACATTGTGTATCATCTTTAGAATCTATGATTGATCATGTCATTTCACCTTTTAGAATGTCAAAGATTAAGGCTATTTCAAGTACTTTTGACACAAATTAAGATCAATATGTGGTGGAAGAAGTAAAAAAAGTTGGTGACAATGCAGTGATGTTGCAGTGACAATGCAGACATGCTTCCTTGCCATTCGTATCCTTCACCATCAAAAAGTTTGAAAAATCCTTTATTTATAGCTTGAGGAGAAATGTTGTAAATAACACCATTTTAGGATAAATAAGTATTCTACTTCTCTTACATATAACCATATGATTAAAACATGTTTTTTTTTCCTTTCTACTAGGAGAAGACCCGTGCATCCGCACGGGTATGAGAAAAAGTATAATCTTATCGAATTCAAATTTCACAAGAAAAAGTATATTCAAATGTATATTAAAAGTAATATTTATGCATGTTTTTATTTGTTTGAATCTAACTGATTGTATCTCGTGTAACTTTATGAAGTAGTTCAATAACGTTTTAAACATTATAGTAAAAAGATTGAAATACATAATCAAGATTTTAGACTTTTTTATTTTTTAGAGTAATATTTATATATGATTCATTTTTTAGAACAATAGAGTAACATGCAATTTTATCGTAAACTTGTATGAAATAAAAAGATCAAATACATCAAATTTTGAGTTATTTGACAATATTAGTAAACTCCATAGGATGAATCTCTTATCTTTTAGCTACAGACATAAAACTGTTATATTACGTTAGCTAAATATTATCTATAATTCAAAGATATAAGCTTTAAAAAATAATAATAGCCTTTGTTTATTTGACAATAGTAGCTTTTGTTTAAAAAAACAATAGTAGCCTTTGTTTATAATTTAAAGATATGAAAAATAAAAATAAATTAATAAGTATAAAAAGTGTAAAATATTTGTTTGTACTTATTTATTTTCTTTTATTTTATTTTTCTACTTCTCTGTGTATTTTTATGTTGCATTTTCTTACATTGTAAGATTCATAAAACAAAAATAAATTAAAAACTATAATAAATATATAAAAGATAAAATAATAAAATGAAAAAAGAAATAAATTTAATTTAAAATAAGAACTGTTAATTTAAAAAAATGAACGAGAAGCAAAACCAATGGAAAGCAAATATGAGATGCCAAGATCAGATATTATAGTAGTCGTTTCAATTTAAGTATTACTTGGATTGCATATCAAGCTCGTCAAATCATAAATTTTTAAAATAAATTAGAAGAAAAGTTCAAACATTAAAATAGGACGTCCAAAACAAATAGAGTTGATGTCTACAAGACCCGTGGGTCCGCAGAGGTATGAGGAAAAGAATGAGATATAATATTAAACATGTTACATAGTTGAATTATAATTCAAATGCACATTAGGAGCAATATTTTTATATTTTTTTTATTCGAATCTAATTGATTGTATCTCGTGTAACTTTATGAAGTATTTGAATAAGATTTTGAACATTATAGTGAAAATATTGAAATACATAATAATCAGGATTTTAGACTTTTCATTTTTAGAACAATATTTATGCATGATTTTTTATTTAAATCTAATTGGTTTTGTCTCGTATCACTTCATAAACTTTTGTATATAAAAGTGAAGAAAAAAAATATGAAATCTAATTGATTATCTTCTATGTCACATAATTGAAAAACATATATATGCTTGTTTCTTTTTGACATAATCTAACGGATTGTATCCGCACGACTTTATGTACTATTCCAATCACATTTATAAGATAAAAAAATTATTTAAATATTATATAAAAATAGTCAAAAATAAATTTAAAATTGATTTATTAAGCTTTAGAGCATTTTATATCTCTTATTTATTAAAAAAATTTATAAAGTATTAGTGTCCTCAATAAAAGTAGAGTTAAAAAATATATTTTAACATTAAAAGAGATAGAGGAAAATGATGCTTAAACATTTAAATAGTTTGAAAAAAGTTTATTTTTTAAATAGAAGATCAAAACTTTATTATTTCACAATGAAATAAACATATAAAGAGATATCAAAAGCGATGTTTAAACATTTAAATAGTTGAAAAAAAGTAACAAATAAAAACAAAAACTATAGATAAAATAAATTTTCTGAAGAGTATTCTGTAAAAAGTCTTTTCAGTCACATCATAAAGTTGAATAGTCTTTTTCTTAACCGTGTTGAAATCATATTAAAAAATTGTTTTCTTGAAACAAAATGAAAGTAAAAACAAAAACGGTCTGTTGAGGATGTTTATTTTGTTGGACTTCATAAATTAACTAGCTCAATTTATAAATGAAACCAAAATTTACTATCAACTTTGATTAAGTATCAAATCAGGTATGATAAAAATAAATTTAATGTCCGTAGAAGTTATTTGAACTATTTTCAACCTTTTATCAATATAGTTTGCATATAGAATTTCTTATTAAAAACATAATCTAATTTTATTAGAGAAGATAAATTAAATTTAGTTACAAAGTTGTCCGTTAAGTAACATATTCTTAAAAATTAGTAAAAGATATATCATTTTAATTATTGAGTTATACAAAAAATTATAAGAATCGGTAACTTTGCACAGTAAAATCATTTTGGAATAAGACCTACGCCAGGCATAGTTGAGTATCATCAATAAAAAAAGAACTTTTTTGAGTGTATTTAACAAAAAAACAAAAACAAATGAAGTACTCCTAGAACAGATACAGATTTAATATCCGCTTTCACAGTTTCAACCGAAAAAGAATAATAACCCTACAACTGCAAAGAACATACAGTTTTATAGTGCTACTACAGTTGTCATTTGACAACATTGTGTACTCCCTCAGGTCCTTATTATAAGAACAATTTACATTTTGAATTCAATGAATCTGAAAAAGTGAATTGTTTCTCATATTAAGGACCGGAGGAAATACTAAATCGCATACTGTAGAACAAAAACAAAAATAAGCAAAAATTCCACAATGCTATAGCCGCTATTTAACAACACAAGTTTATTAAAAAAAAAAAAAGAATTATGCCATTATGAAATTGAATAGACTTATATATTATTCTTACATTGCCAGTACAAAGTTCTTCCAGGATGCATCTAAGGGACCAGATATCAATCTTCTTGTCATATGATAGCTCGAGATTAACTTCGGGAGCACGATAGGACCTGGACTGAACATATGAGCAAAGGTGATCTGTTTCAAAACAACTACTTCCAAGATCAATGACCTTCACCTCACATCAGCTATAGCTTTTAACCAACATATTCTCTGGCTTCAAGTCACAATGTATTAGTCCAAGGTTATGTAAATATTGAAGTGTTTCCAAACATTGAATGGTAATTGACTGCAAAAACAATCAAGACACATTTGTAATGTAGCAGTAGTAGAACTAATACTTAATCCATTTTTATACAAATATATAGCACATTGTAAGATTGTAAATAAAAGTTTAAATGAAGGGTAACATCGGAAAAATAAAAGAGCTTAAATGAAGGGAAATATTCGCCTTCTTTTAAACTCTTCTATTTATAATTTTTACCCTTCAAATTTGATTATTTGATCTAATCTTAATTTAATTTTTAATTTAAATCTACTATAATCTATGAAGCATGGGCACAGACAAAAACACCGGACACGACACCGACACGTCGACACGGGTAATAATTTGAAAAAATGAATCAATTGAACATAATCACAAGTGTCAGTATTGTATTGGTTTCGGACACGCCTTTTTTCCGAAGTGTCGGTGCTACAGAGATTATAATCCTTAAATCAATCTAAAAAATCAAATCTAAACAAACCTTAATTCAATTTTGAATTAAAATAAATAATAGAATTTCATCCAAAACTTCATGTTTAATTTTCATCGAAGCCGACTGGTCTTCATTAGGGAAAAGCGGACAGACCGACATGCCGGTGCCTGTCTGCACGCTAGTTTAAACGAAAACAAAAAACAACGAAATGTGAGCAGAACCCGACAAACCTGCAATCTTGGCATTGTAAAATTTATGAAACTCATATAAGTTGGCTTTGAGTAGCTCACATACTATTAACAAATGTTCCTGCAGTGCGACAACAGTGAGTGGAAAAGTTCGCTGGATATCGTTATTAAGTTAATGTTAAAATTTTCTGGAAGGGCAATATCTAATGTTGCACTACAACGGATCGAAAGGAAAATGTAATAGTATTAATAAGATCAGTAGCGAATACAATATAACTTACTCGATAGTAGAAGTAATCATATAACCGCAAAATGTGATACTTGTCTCCAGGATCATGCTTATTGACATATTTGAGGAGTTTGATCTCGTCAAGGCTTTGATCAAAGAAATTTTTGTTGTTCTTTAGAATTTTAATACAAACATCCACACCTGTATGCAGATCATGAGCTTGAATTGCTTTACTGAATGCGGCAGATCCCAGATACTCGGTGACATGATAGCGGTTAGCTATTACAGAATTTAAAACAACATGGAAATTCTTGTCCTCCTCAAAGCCAGTTCTGAACAATAAAACATGACTATTACACAAAGGCACAAGTACAACTTCACATTATTGCTAATGAGGAGAAATAATGAATCTTATTTATCATAAATCATTGATATACTCGATTCTGTATGCGATGCCATAACAGGTTATTCTGCAAAGAAGAAATGTTAGAGGATGTTGGAGGGGTTCTGCATGAGCTTGAAAATGTTTCTAAAGCACCCAAAGGATTACCACAAGCCATACACATAGTATTAGACCCAACAGGGTACCTTAACTACCAAAAGGTTGAAACTGAAAGGTTAAGAGAATGAAGCATTGGTAGCAAGCATTATTAGAACATGTATTACTCATATTTTAGTCCAATGGACGTGGTAAAGGAAAAGGATGGCATGTTGAGATTGTGTGGACTATAGGGCTCTAAACAAAATAATACCAACAAAGTACTTATTCTTGTCAAAGATGACTTATTGGATGAATTAGGCATTCTAAGGTGTTCTCTAAGTTGCTATGAAGACTTTATATGGACACCTTGAAGGGCACTAAGAGTTTCTGGTAATGCCTTTATATGGACTTTATATCCTTGCTCCTCTGATACTGCCATTTCTCTTGGTCTATTTTTGTTTGGGATACATCATTTATCGCAACCAGGTTAGCAAGTTTTTTTTTCAATACATAACTTATCTTCCTTTATATAACTTTGGATGCAAAATATAGCCAGTTTATACTAAATTCTAACAATATCTTAAATCTCTTTTGTTGGCAGCTGTTATATGTTTATGTTCCTAAATTCGAGACTCGAGGAGAATTTTGGCCTACAGTGCACAACTACACAATTTTTTCATTGATACTAATGCACATAATTGTAATTGGGATATTTGGGATGAAGAAGCTTCCAATAGCATCTGGCTTGATTCTTCCTCTTTCTATTGCCACACTTCTTTTCAACGAGTATTGCCAGAAACGATTCTTTCCTATATTCCAGGCTTATCCCGTTGAAGTACGTTGGTTGAAATTTAATGCTAATTTATCTCATTCTTTTCTTGATGATGGTTTCTGTATGTTTTTCATCTGTATGTTAGTTTATCCACTTCTTATTTAATAGCGAGGTTATGACTATTGGAATTCAAGTATGAGTGGTTAGTCTCACTCTCATCAAAATTATATTCTGAATGTCTTAAGGTTTTGAGTAACTATTGCAATATGTTGATGAAACACATGATGATATTTTCCAATTTTGAGTTTCATTCTTTAGCGTTCTTATGAAATCTTGTCTACTGCAGTGTTTGATCAAGAAAGATAGAAAAGATCAAAATAATCCCAACATGTCTGAGTTTTATGATAAGTTGACCAAAGCATATAATGATCCAGCTCTGATGCCAATCAAGTATTCTGGAAGGTTTCGCAGTCGCAGGACTCCCCTACTTAGCTCCGAGTCTCAAAAAAGCGTTCGGGAGAGTCCAGCACAAGACATGCTTGTATAAGGAAATTTACCTTGTATCTTCCTCTAAGACATGCTGCATGTTTGTTATTTATTTGTATGTTGTTAGAAATTAATATAGTTTATGCTCGCAAGGGCTTGTTTATAATTCATAGTTGTAGGTCTTACATACAAATCTTTGAATCATGATTTCAGTTTCTAACAAGATATTCAGTTCCTTGATATATTAATGATATTGCAATGAGTTATTATTCTCCTTTTGATATTGAACATAAAAACATTAATGAGCATGTGGAGCAAGAGATTTTTGATGATGATGATGAGTCTTTTCAACTATAAGAGATGCTATGAAGAGAATGAAATAGGAGAGGAAGTTTTCGTCTTCTATTTATGCTTTCATTGGAATACATGAGTGCTTGAAGATGAAACGTGAATCACAAAACAAAATGAGAAGAAACATTTCTAATAAACTATCTTAAGTTGTTTTGCCTCCAAGAATTTGTTCTAATTTATGTTTTTTCCCTTGTCAATTTAGTTTGAATCACAACAAAATGAGAAGAAACAATTCTAATGAACTAACTGAAGTTGTTTTGCCTCCAAGAGTTTATTCTAATTTATGTTTTTTTTCCCTTGTCAATTTAGTCTTATAGATATTGTTTTGCTTCCGAGAATTTGTTCTAATTTATATTTTTTTTTCCTTGTCAATTTAGTCTTTTAGATATGTTTGTCGTAACTGAGTCTTCTCACATGTTAAATCATTTTGTTAGGGTTGAGGGCTAAATTATTTTTTACGTACGTATAAATCAAACTATTTCCTTAAAGTCAATGCATTATGGTTCTAATCATTTAGTTATAGTTTTTGATTAAAAAATACATGAAATATGATTCAAATTGTGCCAAGTCTCAATTCAAACAAACATTCATTTTTGATAAAAATTGAATTTTTTTAGTGTGATTCGAATTAGGGAATTAGTTGACTTGAATAAAAAATTTAATGTGAAAATCATAAATTGACTATGTATTTTTTATTCAAACCATGAAAAATGGTGATTCGAATCAAATACTGAATTTGAAAAAAAAAATGATTTGAATCACAGAAAAGTCTAACTCGAACTATAAGGAGGTCTTGATTCGAATCACAATATGGCTTGACTGGAATCAAATATTAGATGCATATTTTGGATTTTGGTTATGTTTTTATGATTAGAATCATGAATTTGTTTGACTCGAATCATTACATTGTTTGATTCGAATCACAGACGCTGTTTTTTGAATTTTGAATTTTTGATTCAAATCATTCACTCACTCGATTCTAACCATTCTATTTACTCTTGACTCAAATCAAATGATCATTTTCTCTCATATTTTTGTGCATTATCTCTAACACATATATGAATCATATTTCTAGACTCCCCTCATTACATGCATATGATTTTGTGAATCATAGCACACACAACACACTTTTCTCTCAAACTTCCAAAAATAATTTTGAGTTTCTGTTTTAAGATCCAAGGCATCGTGTATGGCAACCTTTGAATAGGCACACTCCTTACCGATTCAACCAGTGATGGCAGAACCTGTGATGAAAGTCATAACACCAATAATAAGATAACAATCCAAATTAGGACGACTCATCAACGGCTCTGATGACTTCTCCGACGACTGTCGGCGGTGGTTGTAGTTTTCCAGCTGACTCGTGCTCAAACGACAATCAAACAAGCCTTAATACTGAACCCAATGAAAAACTTTGCTCTCAATAGCATGAGAAGCCATGAAAGAGTTGAATGGTGCAGAAATATATTATAACATATTTCATATATTACAACACTACTAAGTTCAAAGTAACTTTTTTTATAAGCAAAAATGTATCTTATTCATAACAAGCAATTCAGACATACAAATGCTTGCTTTCCATCTTCAGACAGAAACATTTCTAAGCCGAATGGACGGAACCTTCTCAAGTTAACTGTGGAATATTCTCATGCGTTCGTGTATTTTCTAAGCAGAAGACGGAATCCTCAACCCATTTTTTGACAAAGCCATAAAATAGTTGAAGTAAACCACTTGACTTCATGATAAAGTAGTATATGTAGGAACAAAAGCATATTGATTTCTCCTTGAAATTACAATAATGTACCAACAACATATCAAAGAAGAAAAAATAACGGAAAGGAGTTGAAGAGAAATGTTGTAAATAACACCATTTTAGGATAAATAAGTATTCTACTTCTCTTACATATAACCATATGATTAAAACATGTTTTTTTTTTCTTTCTATTTTCCTTGAGTGTCAATTATGATCAAACTATAAGAATAGCACTAGTGCTTCTATTTTCAAATCATCAAATAGTATACATATGTTCCTGTTTCTCACACTTCAAGTCAAATATTCTTCGTGTAAATTCTCTTAACCTCCCTTTTGTTATACAGATTGTGCATGATGCTAGTTTCCTGGACGATTTTGTGAATCATGGTATAATATCCATTGGTTGTATTCGTTCATTGCCCTTGTGTTATACAGACTGCATGTTGCTAGTTTCATGTCTCTCTCAGACCTTGAGTCAACACCACTTTGCATCGTCAATTAGGTGCCACCAGACAAAACCAGACATTTCTTCATGCGCAGCACTGCACCTGTACTTCAAACATTGGGAGTTTAATCAAATTGTTACAATTTACACTAAACTTTGCTTGGTCTACTTACAAACTTTAGAGTTATAAGATTCTTCAATTGTAGGTTTTTTCTCTATCAACCAACTAATTAGATGCATTCACAGAACTCATAGATTCAATAATTGTTTTGACTCATCAAAATTCGGGAACTTAAAATATATGTCTTTAGACTCGAGAATTCTCACACCTACTAAGTAACTAGCCAAGAAAAACAAGGGAAATTACATAGTAAATATCCTTCAATTTTATCCCATTTGTCATGTCATCTAAATGCACTTTGTAGAGAAAACGTTAAATGAATCAAGTTATTCTTGCATAACATTTGAAGCCTGGATTACTCAAAAGTTCTTATTTTAATGATCTATCAACCAAGACTGCAACATACAAAAAAGCAATATATATTCTCATCCCATCGACTTCAACAGAAGAATGCTTCCTACGTGTTTGCCAAGATAGCAGTACTATCAGTTACATACCTATCTAGACAAGAATCCATAACTGGAAATGGCAATCTCAAAGGCATTTAGCCTTTCTCCGCGACCGAATCCATTGCGATCGTAGGATGATATTTCATTTATGTTGAGATCAACACAGGCTTTCACAAGAGCCTCCCCAACACGTTGAGCAGCTTCCTAAAACAATGTTTCACCGAATCTTAAGAAAAAAAAGTCTATAGCCAAAGTATAATTTAAAGAAAGTTGTTTTCACTGTCCCGTACAGAATCTCTCAAAAATGAGGTGGATTACTTACAGCAGTGCTACACGGAGGATTTTCTCGGAACGATTTCTGCAGCGTACTTCCATAGAATAAACACTTCTTATTTTGGTCATCTACAAGCATTGCATACAATTGCTTATCCGAGCAAAATACCGAAAGTCTTGGATGCCTTGCGGTGCCATTAAACTGAACAAAAAAAATGCAGGACAAAATTGATGGTTACTGATAACAGATAGAGGAAAAAAAATCATAGTTAAATTGTATTTGTGGTACCTTTTTCTGCATCTTTCTGTTTCGAATTTTAGCACTTTCTTTTCTAGCATTTGCCCTAGCTTTGATAACTATAGGTTTCTTCGTTAAACCTGCAAGGAAATTTGAATCTCAGTATAAACAATTTCAAAATTCACATCGAATGCAATACTAATAGAGATTTATGCAATCAATTATGGAAACAGCAAAAAAAAATCAAAGGAAAATAAAAAACAAATTGGGTAGATTTAATCTCACTTGTAGTTTGTGGTTGGAAGGAAATTAAGGGTTTTGGAATGATTGGGAAGAAACAAGTCTTGAATTGAAGAAATTTAAAGGGATTCAGTACTTGAATCATATTGTAAGACCCTCAAGAACTATCACTTGTGAAGACTGAGAACAAAATTGAAGTTAGGAGTATTTTCAAAAAGATTTTTTTCGATAATGTATTTTTTGCAGATTTAAGATATGAGTTGTCTTTTATCATGATATGAGCTTTTTTTACTCATTTAATTATGTTATAAACTGTTAAATGCATTGATACCTAAACTATGAATCACAGCAACCCACACTAACACAATGATATTGATAATAATTTTAAAAAATAAATAAATTAAACGATATTGATAATAATTTTAAAAAATAAATAAATTAAACGTAATTACAAATATAGATATAAATGTAACACAGACATGGACACAATTTTTTTCAAAAGGATTGGTGTTACTTAGTACTAAATTTTTATAATAAGCATTTTACCTTCACACTTAAATGGCCTTAAAGGAGATAGAAACTTACAAATAAGTTTTATTTGTGATTAACAACTTACTAAATTCATTGTCATTTAAGTAAAAAAGTTTTAAAATAATTACTATTAAATAAAAGAATAATAACTGATAGAATTGCATAATGTAGTTAGGGAAAATAGTTAGAGAGTTATAACAAACTGTATAACAAACTATACAGTTAGTAGCTAACAATATAAGAACAGAGTACTCAAGTTGTCACACAGGATTTTAGGCACTTAGAAAGGACAGTGTAGTTCCTTAAGTAAAGACTGAATCCAAATTAGTTCAGCAGCCAATTGGGCCATATTGCGATATTCTGCTTCTGCATTAGATTTGGCTTCTTAGACCACCATGAAATCACATTAGGATCTAGAAAAATACATGCTCCTGAAGTGGACCTTCTGTCATCAGGGTCTGATGCCCAGTCAGCATCACAAAACTAAATGCAATGGCTGCGGAATAGATGCAGGTTGAATAAGAAGGCCATGCTGAAGAGTACCACTTAAATATCTTAAAATTCTTTTAACTGTCTTCCAATGTTCCTCTAAGGGATTGGACAGAAACTGGCAAACCTTGTTTACAGAGAAAGAGATTTCAGGCCTAGTTAAGGTTGCATACTGCAGAGTACCAACAACTGATCTGAACTAGGTAGGGTCATCCACTGCAGTAGAACCTATTTTTGAAAGCTTACTGCTTGAAATCATAGGGGTAGGCATGCCATTTGCATTTAACATGTTCATTTTGGCCAACAAATCAGTGAGATGCTTTGTTTGGGAGACAAGTAAGGATCTATTAGGCAAGTGGGTGACTTCAACGCCTAGGAAATAGTCCAATTTGTCCAACTTCTTTAGAGAGAATTTATCATTAAGATGCTTAATCAAAGAATCTATAAATGAGGTAGAATTTCCTGTGATGATTATATCATCAAGATAGACAAGTATCATGATCTGTAGACTGCCATGGTTAAGCAAAAATAGGCTTGGATCACACTTGCTATCCTGAAACCCATGCTGGAGAAAAGCACTCTTAAGTTTGTCAAACCAGGCCCTGGGAGCCTATTTTAACCCATAGATAGCTTTGTTCAATCGGCACACTAGGGAATTATCATCTGCTTCAAATCCAGGAGGCTGTTGCATAAAAACTTCCTCATCAAGAGTGTCATTAAGAAAGGCATTGTTAACATTAATTTGTTGAATAGTCCAGTTGCTGGTGACTGCAAGAGTTAACACAATTTTGACTGTAACAGGCTTAACAACAGGTGAAAATGTTTCAGTGAAATCACTTCCAGCCTTTTGATGAAAACCTTTGGCCACCAGCCTAGCCTTGTACTTGTTTATGGAACCATTAGGATTCTCTTTTTAACCTGAATACCCATTTATAGCCTATAGGTTTCCTAGAACCAGATGATTTCACCAATGTCCAGGTCTGATTTCTCAGTAGTGCCTGAAACCAGTGAGGATCAGCCAAAGCTTGGTCAACAGATGTTGGTTCCATATGGGTAAGAAGCAGGGTGGGATGAAGTCTAGGAATAGTAGTGCCTATTTTAGCCCTGGTTTGCATAGGATGAACATTTAAAGGGTGGATGAAAGGTAGAGATGTATTGGGAGTGACAGGACTAGGTGCAGAAGATAGAGTTTGGGGTGAAAAGGGAGGTAGGATCAGAAATGATAAGAGCAGGGGTGGAAGTAGAAGATGAATTGGGTGTGTTAGGAGTAAAAGATAGACCAGAAGAAGCAGAAGCTGGTTAAGAATTGGGAGTGGAGAGAAGGTTAGTGTTAGATGGAATAGATTGTTGAGAATTGGCTGAAGAAGAGGAGGAGAGACTGCCATGCTGGCTGGGAATAGGAGTAATGAAGAAAGATAGCATAGACCAAGTTGAAACTCGACGTCAAAACACTAGTACTTATGCATTCTAAGATAAGAAAATAGTTTATGAATTGCTATTAAGGCCGAAAATGAGCCGAGTTGAGTCGAACTCGCCTCAGTTCAGCTCGATCATTGAAGGTTTGTGTTCAGCAGGCAAGGTTGAAGAAGCCGAGGCATATTTTAACGCTCTGAAAGTTAAAAGCGTCGAAATCTATACTTCCATGGTTAATGGTTATTGTGAAGCTGGTCTTGTTGAAAAATCATGCAAACTTTTCTGCGAGATTTCAAAAGAAGGAGATATTTCAGAAGAAACTCCCGGTTTTAAGAAACTTAGCAGAGTAATGTATTCTAAAGTATTAGCTGCATTGTGCAAGGAAGGGAATGTAGAACATGCTCGCTCGTTGTTCCATTTTTTCCTCGAGAGGGGATTTACGCCCGATGTTGTAACTTACACGATTATGATAAAAAGTTATTGTAGATTGAATTGCTTGCAAGAGGCTCATGATCTCTTCCGGGATATGAAGAGCAGAGGGATAAAGCCTGATGTAATTACGTACACGGTTCTACTCGACGGGAAGTTCAAACAAGTGAATTTAAAAAGGTGTTTCTTTTCGCAGCACAAAAAAGGAAGTGATGCAACGTACGGTGTTTCGACTATCTTGACAGAAATGCAGCAAACGAAAGTAAGTCCGGATGTGGTTATTTACACTGTTCTGATTGACGGATTCGTAAAGGTCGATAACTTTCAAGAAGCGGTTAGATTCTTCAATGAAATTATTGAGCTGAGACTCGAACCGGATAATGTAACTTACACTGCTCTACTTTCTGGTCTGTTAAACCGCGGGCACACCGAGAAAGCTGTTATATTGTATAATGAAATGTCTTCCAAGGGAATGATGCCACCCTTGCCCATCATCTCGAAGTTAAAACGCCAAGTTATTAAAGCTAGAAAGGTGCAGTTTCGAAAGTAGTGAATCCGTTTTGACTGTTGATGAAAAAGACACGAGTTTATGAACAAACGAGTTCTTCTTTGGTGAACGAGAAAAATCAATCGTCCGGCGATGCAATTCAAAGAATCTACTGAGATAGAAACAATCGACGAGTCTGTCATGTTTGATCATCGTGTTGTTCAGTATGTAATATCTTGATTTTTGTTTCCGTTGAGAAAATAATCCAAATCGAATCGAATTGAATGAGATTTTGCTACTTAGATATGACTTTTTGTTTCAAAGTCAATATAAATTCAAACCGTAAACACTCCTAATTGTTACTATGTTCGATATAATGGTTACCTTTTATTCAATAATAACTTAACCCGAGATCAAAAATTGCAACTTCGACATACAAAAAATACATAAATAAAAATTATATAATATCATAATTTACATCAAAATTTTGATATACAAGAATCTTTTTTTTTTGGTATATCATACAAGAGAAATACAATCTAAATAATTTTATACATTAAGAACGATCTGTCATCTGAATTCGAGATTCAATCTAACCAAACTGACGAAATTTATGTGAAGGTTCTTAGAGGAGCTTCTTCCTCTCAAAGAATGTCTTCAAATGCCATAGTTGCATACCAGCAACAGACAAGCAAACCGTGATTGAAAGGAAAATGAATGTAAACATCTTATTATCAGTCGTTCTGTTAAGATCTTGCATCTCCTCCTCCCTATATCAATATCATGGAGAAAAGAACATCAAAATGCAGAAAGAAAAACTCGTTAGAACGAGTAATAACTTTTCTCGAATGAGTCGTAACATTTATACCTTCCTCGAAGATAAAACATCTCGTCGTGGATGAATGTGACAGTGTCAAACATCTTCTGTAACTCGTATTCCATTACCTAAAATCATAAAGGATCAAATCATTAACTTCTTTCAGAAACAAACTTTCAAGCTGTTTTATACGCTCTCAAAGACGACTCTATTGCAAATTAAAAACATTAAAATACTACATTACATAAACTTACTTCAATATGATCTTTTTTCGCAATCTTATACCAGTCCCTCTCCGCCATACCAGCTCTCCACTCAAAATCAACCATCACAGTTAGCGGCGGTTTGCGTTCCCGCGCCGTAAAACAAGTTGTGTAGTCACCAGCTTCAGCTGTTGTAAATGCAAAATTACCAGAAGTCACCATATTCCCAAAGTGGTAATTGTTCCCTTTAGGCGACCGAACCTGAAAACCAACCACATTATACAAATACAACAATAATCAATAGAAAAACAAAGAAAGTTTCAAAATTTTGATATCAAACTGTATCCAACAAAATTAGGATTATGATAATTCATAAACATACCCTGACAGTTAACCTGTGAGAATCAGGAATTGGATAGCCTTCACCGGGATTAACGACGGAATAATTACCGACGGTCATGGCCTTGCTCTTGATATCCTCACTGATGCATTTGGGTTCACCTGATGTAAGGCTAAACCGCATTGAATTGACAGAGGTAAACATGAATGCAAGGATGATAGGAACGAGAAGAAGAATTGAATTGAACATTGTGATAGTGGAATGTTGTGAATTTGGAAGAAGGGTAAAGAGGGAGATATTTTGAAGGGTTGCTTGGGAAAGAAGAAAGGAAGAAGAAATGTAGTGTTAACGGTTAACCGCCATGAATAGGATTTTTCTTAAACTATTTTTGGCTTAGCAAATGTAGCAAATTCTGAATATCTTATAGATTTCATTGGTGAAGACTTAATTAAACCCTCTCCCTAGATATCATCATAATTTTTTTTTAGTAAAAATAAAGATTCTTTTTATAACTTTTAAAAATGGATATAAAAATTAGATATTAAATTTGACATTATATAATAATTACAATAAGAACATTATATTCATGTAAATGTGAGAAAGTCGTTGCAGGATTGTTCGTGTGTGTTGATTTTGTTTAAACTTAGTTTGCTCCGGTACTTGACGAACATCTCCCCCATTTTCTTGGTAAGCATTTGTCATAAGTAATCCGTAAGGATGACAATGGACAAGGATTTGGGTAGAGTATTATAATATCTGTCTTCATACTTGTAATTTGGAAGGAAGAAAAAAAGGTTGCACTTTTCACTCTTACATGTGCACTCCACCACATCCTTGAAAATTCGAAAATATCTTTTAAGCGCCCGGCGATGAATCTCCAGACGCACCTAAAATCACACCCGAAAAACACAATGATGATATCCACCATATTTTTGAACAAAATATGGTTTGAAGATGCATCTCCGTATGCTATTTAGGAGTTTATGGAGATGCATAAAGTTCCCTGAAAGTTATTGGAAGCATGTTAATTGCAAAGGGGTGTTTTTCGAAGATGTCTCTCTGAAAACCCCCATGAATCATTTAAAAAGAGCACATTGTCCCAACATTATAATTTTTTGAGACAAACTTATATTAAAGTAAAATCAAACTAAAATCAAGTTTCACTAAAGTTAAATGAAAGAAAAAAGTTGTATATTAATTCAAAAAGTCAACACCATAAATAACATTTGTCCGAAAATACAAAAAAATTATATTGAAACATAAACTACTGGGTTTGTCAAACCTCTGCCTTCTCCTTCTCCACCTGTACTGCACGACATTTTGTAACTCGATAACCTTGTTCGCTACAAGGCCAACTGGGAATTGTCATCCTCAAACAGTCTTGCGTCTATGTATGCTATAACCATTTCCCAAACACGCCGACAAACCTCATTATGGTCATCCTGAGCCATAAATACCTCTTAGTTAGTTGGCCTAGGCGGTCTTCCAAGAGCGTCTGATGTCGTGATAAGATGTGAAACCCTATAGAACTATGTAATATAGTTGTATGCATAAGCCCACTATACATGAGCTAGTACCATACGATACTCCTCTGGTACTAGGTGACTCTCGAAATCGTCAAGTATTGAATCAAGATCTCTACAGCGGATGATGGGAGGAGCAGACTCATGGAAGAGGGGTCTTAGAATAATCTGCAAAGTCAAACTTCTGCATCAGTCGCTCGAGTAAATAAGGATACATAAGAGATGACCCATATGCTAGCCATCCGGAGTATAAGGATATGATCTCAAATGGACGCGCCTCGCGGTGACCACTGTATGGGCAGAAGCAAATGTCATATGTTACAAGACGGTCAAGATGCACTATGAATGGCTCGACCACTCTATTTCCCCTCTAAGGAATATATGCGGCAGCGCGCAGCCAATCTTCTGTGTAGGCAGACACAACTTAGAACCTGGTGATACAAGGGAAGTGGAAGATGATTATTGCTTGAAAACATGTGATATCGCATGTAAGTATACATGTATGTTTTAACTAGAAAGTAATAGAATAGTAAGGATGTTGAACCCACAGAGAGTAAAAAGTAACTTAGATTAATTTTGCAAAGAACTATCTTTTGTAAATAAGAATGAGTAAGATAAAAACAATTTATAGTTGTCACATGTCAAGTTTAATAGCTAACTAGAGTAAAACAATGTTAAGGAAGTAACTGAGTTCAAATATAAAGAGCATGTTGGACAATGATCCATTAATATAACTTTGTAATTTATGTGTGTATAATGTATTGTGTCGTGCCAAGAATAGGTCAAAAAGGGATCTAAAGGTGTATCGCTACATCATCAAAAACATATACAACAGGGTAAGAGGGAAAATCTCTTAGTGTCACTTTTAACCATGGTTGTCAAAATCGGGATCTCACTAAAGATCGTTGGGGGTTGAAAAAAGCGTGAATTGTAAAATCGTAAATCGGATCGTAAGATCCTACAAAATATACAAAATTATACATTTCACTAAAAAACATTAACATTTTTTTTAAATTAATAAAAACCACATTCCAAATTCCAAAAGAAGTTGATGATTGAAAATAAATCGTATGATTGATTTATAGATGAAATTGAAGAAGAATAAATGTTATCATTTAATAAATTGATATTTTTCAGATTGATTTTTAATTTCCCCCAAAAAAATCAGCCTTGTAGATAGCAACAGATTTTGACTTTTAATGATGAAAAACGACTAATTTAATGTGAAACGGCTGGTAGAAAAAGCTGAATGGGTCCCCTTCTTTAAAAGATCATTGGACCGGGTCATGTCAAAACGGGTTGGACAAATTTTCCACTGCGAAATAGATCTCCGCTTTCACGTTTTTACGATCTTACATTGCGCTCTTACCGCGCCGCCTTCTCCAGCGATCTTTGTTGCGCTCCGCCGCGGAGCATGGTGAAAACTCGTAAGATCTTAAGATCTCACGATTTAAATCTAGATTTTGACAACCATGCTTGTAACCCTGAATCATGTTTGGTTTTATTATGAAAGTTCTTTATAATTGTAGCTCCATATCTCTAAGAAAATAATCTAGTGAATATCTCTATATTACTATTTTCAATCACTTTTATCATGATATTCGTTTGTTGTTAGATCTCTCACAACATCAAGATTGTATCTTTTTCTAAGTTGATTAATCAAAGAAACAAATTTATAGCAGTTTAACACATGATACAACAAAGCATTAACAATGCATCATTTAACATAAAAACTATATTATATTAACTTCTCATTGCCTAACATAAAAGGTTTGGCCCATAATGAGTTGAGTACATACAACAATACTGATTTTTAAGCTGGTCATTCTTAAACACATAGTGAAAAAGAAATAACAACCTAAGAGCAACTTCTTCGTCTTCTTGAAATGGTTAATCACCAAGAGACAACTTTCGTTGCTCCAGGTGTCAATAATAGGCACTAGAGACAGTGAGAAGAAGAATCTCCATTATCTTTTAACTAGGGGTGGCAAAATGGATGGATTGGATGGATATGGATTGGATTGTTAATGGATGGATTAAAACAATCCATTAGTCCATTAACAATCCACTAAAATTTTCTTAAAATTATCCAATCCAATCCATCCATTAACATATTTTTAATGGATGGATATTCATCCATCCAACTTTTTTTTATTTCGTAAAAATAAATATATTTTTTTTATTTTTAAAAAATTAATTTTATTTTATTTTTGAAATTTTCATTTTTTGTATTTAAAAAAAAATTATTTTTTAATATATTTATTAAAAAAATTTGAATTTTTTGTATTTTAAAAAAAAATTGATATTTTAATTTTTGAAAAATATCAATTTTTTTTCAAAAAAAAAAGTCGGTTTTTTTTCGAAAAACAAATCAGTTTTTTATTCTGAAAAAAAACCGATTTTTTTTCCAAAAAAAAAGTCAGTTTTTTTTCGAGAAAAAATTTTATTTTTTTTTTCGAAAAACAAATCAGTTTTTTATTCTGAAAAAAAAATCGATTTTTTTTCCAAAAAAATAAGTCGGGTTTTTTTTCGGAAAACAAATCAGTTTTTTATTCTGAAAAAAAAACCGATTTTTTCCGAAAAAAAACAGATTTTTTTTTTCAAAAAAAATTAAACTTTTTTTTTCAGAAAAAAAATATAATTTTTTAATTATTTTTAAAAAAATCTATTTTTTAAAAAATAAATCTAACGAAAATAAAAATAATCCATTGGATCCTTAAAATATGTTGGATGGATTTAATCCAATCCATTAACTTATTTTTTGTGTGGTGGATGGATTGGATGGATTTTTTGATGGATGGATTTTGCCTTAATGGATTCAATTGTCACCTCTACTTTTAACTCACTTTCTTCTTAGTTTCTTCTAAGTGGATTTTTTTATAACAAAGGCTAAACTCCTTTTTCACTTCTTAAAGAACTACTTTTATAGTTTCTTCAGATAGGGTTTTTGCCCTGTGTCTTAGATCATGGGCTTGAGATTAAATATCAAATCAGACCCAAAAGAGAATAAGCAACATTCCCTTTATTTCTTCTCATTCGTACAACAGTTGAATCAGGTATAGACAATAATGGGAGACAAAATGTAGCGTGGCTAGGGGTGTACGCGGGTTGGGTTGGACCGGGTTCGCCTTAACCCGTTACCCAACCCGTTCAACTTTCAATGGGTTGGGTTTATCATCAAACCCGTAATTCTACTTTAAAAACCGACCCGAATCAACCCGGATATTTACGGGTTGGGTAGGGTTGGGTTCACGGGTTGTGTATATAATAATTATTATTTTCAATTTAAAAAATCTATAACACAATTCAATATAATTTTGCATATTTCAAACAATTAAATTATTTACGTAGTGGAGACAAATCCTACATATAAAATAGAATAATTAAAAATATAACAATTAAAATTTTGAAATGTATTTTCTTTGTCATAAAAAATATTAAGATACATATACACCATTAATTATTTATATATTTTCATTAATATACCTTAATTTATAAAAATTTATTAGTTATTTTGATACTCAAATGTTATCCATTACAAATATATATCAACATATGTAAAACAAATATATAATAATATACAGTATATATTAGTTGTTTTGATACTCAAATGTTACCTTTTCTAGCACATGCTTAAAAGTAGGTCCGTAAACTATCATATATATTAACACTTAATAATATATAAAATTCCATAAAATATCATTTCCATAAAATTCATAAATTCTA